CCTATAACGCCCATGTAGGGATGATGCTTTAAAAAGTAATGATTGGCCCAGCACGGTGGCTAACGACTGTAATCCCAGCACTTTGGGAGGCCAAGGCAGGAGGATCCCTTGAGCCCAGGATTTTTGAGACTAGCCTGGGCAACACAGGGAGACCTCATTTCTATTTAAAAAAAGTAATAATTGAAAAGGGACAGGATCACTCCAAAATAATGCAAAGTAAGGAGCTCTGTGAAATCTGATGTCACACAACCATTGCAGGCTTGGGGTTACTATGCCAGGCGACACATTTAACCTGGTGTTTCCTAGACTGTTAGCCTCCAATGGAGATGTATTCCATAGTAGGAAGAGGTGAAGGCTTGACTCTTCATAATCTATTTTTCTAAACGTCTTTCCATGATCTGCCGTTATACTGTGTCCTCACTCAGAGTCACTCTGAAAGACAGTGGTAAGAAGAAATCCTCCCAACAGGCAAATCAATCTACCCCAACATAGAAATGACAACTGCCATTAACTATACTTCTCTGTCATAATAAGCATTCACCTATATTATCTCTCATCCTTAAAACAACCATGCTGCCGGGCACAGTGGCTCACGCCTATAATCCCAGCACTTTGGGAGGTCGAGGTAGGTGGATCACGAGGTCAGGAGATCAAGACCATCCTGGCTAACATGGTGAAACCCTGTCTCTACTAAAATTACAAAAAAAATTAGCTGGGCATGGTGGCGGGCACCTGTAGTCCCAGCTACTCGGGAAGCTGAGGCAGGAGAATGGTGTGAACCCGGGAGGTGGAGCTTGCAGTGAGCGGAGATCATGCCACTGCACTCTAGCCTGGGTGACAGAGCAGGACTCCGTCTCAAAAACAAACAAAACAAAACAAAAAAAAAGAAACGTGCAATGTAGGCATTAGTATTAGTATTCCTTACGTACAGAGACAGAGATTGCCGCCCAGAGACCACACTGTAAGTAATGGAGTTATGTTCTGAACTCAGGGCCCTAGGCTTGAAGTCTGAACTTTCTCTGTTTTTCCATGCTGCTTCTCCAAAAGGAAAAATGAAAGCCCTTTCTGTTTTTATGCATTTCATGAACGTAAGATTTCAAGGAATAGTCAGTGCTTTTCATGGCGTCTTGAGTGGCTAGCTCTCAAGACACACGCATGCAAGCCCAAAATCCAGAGGGAAGGAAAATGTATAATTTCCTTTCTTTTTCGGTCATGCTGCATGTGAGCAGAACAAGCCCTGTTACAATCAACAGCCTCACAAAGAAAATTTCAGTATATAAAGCTTATTTATCTCAAGCAGTATTATTACATTATAATTTTGGACCAAATGTACTGTTCCCTTGTCAACATTGTAACAAAATTTAATTTATTTACAGAAAAGAGCCATGGAGAGGTGAAATCTCCATCTTTGGTTTGCCTGAATAACCTTTCTTGAAGTACGAGATGTACAACTTGCAATTAATTTGTCACCATTGTTGGAACTCTCTTGGTCTCTGAGTAGGAGCTCGCAGATGTTTCTCATCCATCAATTTATATTGGTTTGTTCCAGTCTCTTTCTCTTCTCTTTCAAATGACTCCAGAATGCCCACTTTCAAAATTCATGGTTTTTAATAGGTAGCCTCCAAAAGGGATTATAATTTATTTTAAATAATTCCTACCCTCAAGCCCCACCAAAAGATGCTTATGAAAAAAACTCCCCAAATTAAGTATTTTAATCTTATGGTCAGTGTGTCCCCATATCTCTAGAAAGGGCACCTACCTGGAGAACCTAGGGCAGGAGCTGAGGTTCAGTGTTTCTCAACCTTGCCTGATTAAAATCATCGCCTGAGAGCACTCATTGAAAACACATGTTCTAAGGCCCCCACTCCTATATATTCTGATTCAGGAGACCCATTATTGTTGGAAGAAGGAAAAGGAAACCCCCTCCTATGTTTTATGCATATCACAAATGCAAGATTTCAAAGAATAGTCAGGGCCCAGGACTCTGTATTCTTGCACATACATGCGGCTCTGAGTGCCCGAAAAGATGCTTTGCAGATATTTGGGACACTCCCTTTGAATTCTTGAATAAGGAACATGTGGAGTGTCACACAGGAAAACACTTGCCATCAAGCGAGCTGTGCATGCCTTTTGAATTCCAGTGCATGTGGCCTGCAGACCACACATTTAGGGGGAAACAAAGGAAAACCCCCTAGACTTTCATAGTAAATGAGGGCACTAGGTGGACTTTTTGGGAGTGATTCTATATTGTTGGATTTATTGTTGATGAATAAGCAGAGTCCATGAGAAAAGGAGACATCTTTGCTTGTGAATATTGACATGTTCATTTCTTTCTTTTCTTTTCTTTTTTTTTTTGTTTTTGTTTTTGAGAGAGAGTCTCTGTCGCCCAGGCTGGCATGCAGTGGTGTGATATTGGCTCACTGCGACCTCTGCCTCCCTGAGGCGATTCTCCTGCCTCAGCCTCCCGAGTAGCTGGGATTACACGCACCCACCACCACGCCTGCCTAATTTTTGTATTTGCAGTAGAGACGGGGTTTCACCACATTGGCCAGGCTGGTCTCAAACTCTTGACCTCAGTCGATCTGCCCGCCTCAGCCTCCCAAAGTGCTGGGATTATAGGCATGAGCCACTGCGCCCGGCCCAACATGTTGATTTCTGATAAGCCTAGTCTAGTGCTCATTTCATCTGGTCATTTCAGGACTATATATTCCTGAGATGATTTAGTGTAGAGGTTAAGGACATAGGCTTTACAGCCAGAGAGGCATGATTTCTAGACCTACCTCCAACACTATTTGTATGATCATTCCACCTTGCTGAAATTCAGTTTCCTATAAGATGCGAATAGTAGTATTAATTCACAGGGTTGTAATAAGAAGCCAATGACACCTTATAGGTAAGGTATTTAGCAGAGTGCTTGATACAAATTAAGCATTCAACTTATCCCTGAAATTATAACTGACTGTGGAGTATCAAGGGAAATGTATACCACTGAATAGTTGTGTCTCACATACATCTCACACTTCTGCTTGATGTCAAGGTAGATTTTATAGCATTATTGACTGGCAGTTATTTGGGGACTAGTTATGCAGTTAGTAGATTGTTCATGTCCTATTTTTCCACTGGTCAATTAGCTGAATTTATTTGGTTTCAGTGTTTCCAGCACTCTGCCAAAGGTGAGTGGGATGTGCAAAAGAGAACAGTATGACCTCCCATGGGCTTTGGAAGGCAGAGGTGTTTGGAGAAAAGTCTGTCACCCAGAGCAGTTAGTAATAGCTTCTTGGAAGAGGTGATAGTCAAACTGGGCTTGAGGGCAGGTAGAGTATAGAAGAGCAGTACAGGACAGATGCCCTTCCTGGGTACTAGATACAAAAAAGGGGGCTACATATCTTGTAACCAGTTTTCTTTCTTTTCCCTCTAAACAGAAAGCAGGAGCAAAACTTAAGAGTCAGGAAGAACATGGTGTGTTCAAAAAAGACCAAAACTAGTCGTTTGGAGCAGAGGTCTGAACTGTGGAAGAGTAACATGTCTACGTGCCCTGCTTGAGCCGGGCATTGTTTTAGATACTTACATAGGGTACCTGTTTAGATAGCAATAGACTAGGGTTACCAAGTCAATCTTCAAAGTTCAGCAAAAGGGTTTGGACTTGATCAAAAGTGATGAAATGTCAAAAGTCCTTAGAAAAGGGAATAATATGATGAAAATGGTAAATGTTTGTTAGAATAGTCTGGAATGTGGAGAGATGGGAGAATGGAAGAGGCTTTTTATAATGGTACCAAGTGATGAGAGCCTGCATTAGATACTGTAATGGGATGACTGAATTCAGAGTCCATTTTGAAAGAAGGGTTGAAAGGACTTGGTGACAGACTGGCCCTGGTAGATGAGGAGTTGGTCATTGTTCAGTGATAGCAGAATGAGCCATAAGACTTTGAATAGAACATGGACCTCCAGGGGTCCTTAAAT